ACACAAGAGATTATTTCTCTCTGCTTAAGATGACACATCCATGAACTGCAGGAATTTTCCTGTCGGTGTGGAACAAGCCACACTAACAGGTACAGGGGTGATCCACGTGCCAGGGGCTTCTTCTCCCATGTCCATCCACACGAATRGATGTGGTTGCTAAGCCACCAACCCTCTCCAAAGCATTCTCAACAGGCAGCTGGCTGTAGGGCCAAGGAAAAGGTGCTGCACACACCCTCAGAACAGGGAGGAGAGAAAGAGGAACCAAGTCCCCATCAGGGCAAGATTAGCAGGGATTGTGTGCCTGCTTTCAGCAGCACAGTCCCTGGAGAAGGYGAGGAGGATGCTTTTTGTGATATCCCAAACACTCCTGTGAAGTGGCTGTTTCAGTCAAGCAGCTTGCCTGCACTGAGAGAGGGAGGTTTGCAGGCAGGGAGTTGGAGCTACAGAGACCTTTTGCTGCTGCTGCTCACAAAAGCAGCTTGATCTCAATCCCCAGGTGTGGGATCAGTTCAGCACAACACACCCCCCGGGATGAATTCAGCTGCCTGAACATGGGCATTGGATCATTTGTCACTGAGCATCTGCAACACCTCTGTAGCCTGGGAGAGAAAACACGAACCTGCAGCAAGGCTGGGACCTCTGAGACAGGAACAAAATACCCCTGGGTACATCAAACAGCACCATCACTTCTGCAGGGCTGGCTGAGCTGAGCTGCACATTTAGGCTGAGCTCAGCACCTCCCCAGGCTTCACTCCCTCTGTCAATTACATCTTCACTGACTTATATTAGAGCTTAAATACTTCAATTAGCAGTTGGTATTACTTGGAAACACCTAGATTTGTGTGTTTTGATCTGTCAACCTTTCAAAGGCTCTAGCTCCTGCCTGCAGCCCAGAGCAAGGCAAACAGCTCATGATGGACGCGGTGTCACCACAGAACACCCCCTGCCACACGAGGGGCTGAAGGCAAACTCAAATCAGACACCTGAGGCTACAAATGTCAACACTTTTTGTCCATCAGATGAACAGGCAAGCCTGGATTTTCCCTTTGCACAGGGAAATGGGTAGGGGAAGTGTTAACGTAGGCATCCTTTAGCCTGTAACGTGCTCTAAGTACGCACATCTACGACTGCTTTTTACCCAGCAGCAAAACGAGACTCATTAYGGGCCATTTGCTGAATTAATCAAGCTTCAGGATATCCTAATAAGGGAATTAATAAGTTTCCTAAAACAAGGCTAAAAGCTTCACACTGTCAAATCATAAACACATCTAGAGGGCAGCAATGATATTGTCATTTTCCGCTAAATATAGAACCTGAGCAGAGACAAGTGCACAGTCACACACTGCACCAACAAAGACTTTTTTTTTTCCTGTTTCTTTTATTTTTTTTTTCCCATTTGAGAATAATAGATAAGCTTTGGTACAAAACTGCAAAGTTGTAAGGATGGCATAATTTTCAGGTCCTTGGTCAAAGAGCATTTTGCTCATATTCCCAAATCATACTGCAGGGTAACCACAGCATGATTTGTCAACATGACTTTATTTCCCAGATAAAGAGAGAGGAAAAAGAAAACAAGATATCACCAAAAATAAAAGTGTCAGGGATGAAAAATCCTCACAGACTGACAGACTTTGTTTTATGAATCCAGCTGAAACTTATCTGAGTCACTCAGCAGCTCCCAGGAGACACAGAGAAACACAGACCCAGGCACAGAACCACCACGGGAATTTCTTGCAGTTAGGATGGAAATATTTTATGCAAACAGTTTATTCTAGTGTGGCAAACAGGAGGGGAGTTTTTCAAGCAGAAGTTCTTGTTCTTATTCTTAAGGGTTTTTTTTTGCCTGAAACACTTTTTCATTAAATTTTGCTGGTGTATTGCAGGGTTTGATAGCATTCCCCATCTGAGTGAACATCAAAAAATGGGAGGTGACAAGATGGACACAAAGCAGGGCAGGTCCAGCCAAATGGATGACTTGATCTGTGGAGGGACCTAGTTGGCTCATTTTGTCTTGAATTCCATACCCCCATGTGCACAGAGGCTACAGTGAGGCACAGAAATAGCCTCAGGAGCACCAAAACTTGGCCATGGACCAGTGTCTTATGCTGCACTGAGTTTTTTATAAGCTTTTCACACAGTTTGGGCATTTCACAGCCTGGATTTGCCAGTGTCTACAATGCAAAAGCTTTCCTTCACAGGGAAAATGCCCCTGGGTTCATTCCCTCCAGCTCATGAGCTGCTTTTAGGAAATTGGAGGGAACTTGGAGGGAACTTGGAATCCTTGAGTGCCTGATTTCTAAAACCAAAGAAGAAATCACCRAAATTGATGCAAAGTTTTTACAAGCTTTCAAATGAGAAGTGTACTCTCAGATACACAAGATATACTCACAGATGTACAAAATCAAKGCAGAGATAAGCTGTAGCTCCTAAAAGGTGGCAGCTCACAAACATGGGATGCCTGACAGTACAATAAAGAGCTGAGTTACAGTCTASAGCTGGATAAACCCTTAGTTTTTAGAAGAAAAGCAATGCAATGTGCTTTTCCTAAATTAGTCTGATTTTGCTCTCAAAAAAAAAGAGAAGAAAATCAGTATAATATAACAAACCATCATTTCTCCCTCTGCCTCATCAAAATGCAAAACAAAATAGAACAAAACTACATATCCTAGGCAGAAATCTTTGTTGATTCAAGCCATCTCCTATCAGACCTTCATTCTGAGCTGTATTATTCACCTCTGAGATTTGCAAGATCCATTTCCCATTCTTTAATCAGTTGTCTGTGCTTATTCCATCATCTGCACGGGGTGCACAGCCRAGGTTTTCAGCACAATGAGCCTCATCACAGACGAGGCAGCCCACAAACCAACTCRGTGAAATCATGTAAGCAGTCAGATTGTGTCAGTATTCGGTTTTCCCAAAGTCTGGACGTGTTCTGCATGCAGTAATTAGATTTTTCAAATCCCCAAAGAGATTGCACCTGTGTATTCAAACCTTCCCCTGCTGTCCTGCTGYTTTCCCAAGGCTTAATCACTTAACTACTGTCTTCCAAGAAGTAAAAGTTGACCAAATTTTGATATAATCCTTCCCTCTCTTTTCTGCACTACTACTTGGAGGAGCTACACACTGGAAGTGCCTAAGATTAATCACGCTGAAAGGAGAAAAATATCCATTTTCCCAGAAAATAATGCTTCAGCATTTCAATAATGTATTTCCACCAGTGTTTAATTTCATTTGCATGCCATTGTTTTCAGAGCAGAGAGAATTTAAGAAAACTTATGAGCACTGCAATACAAGCATCAGCCACTACTGAGAAAGAGAGGAGCAGGGAAGAACTTTAAAGCAGGTCATTGAGGAACTAGTGAAATTATTCACTCAGTTTATAAAAACCGAACTGGGGTAGTAAATTTTTTTTTCTTCCAAACACAGGGAAAACATTTAAATTCTCTCCACTGTGTTTGTGATAGGAATCAGTCATAATGCTTTTTTTTCCCTTTTTTTTGCTTCCTTTCCTCCTGTCTTTTGGAGACACAAAAACCAGGCAGTAAAAATATCCACATTCCCCACCAAAAAGAAAGAAAAGGGGAAGAAAAAATAAAAAGCCAAAATCCTTTTGGGATCCATTCTGATACACCTGCTCTGGTCTGAGCTGCCATTAATTTTCATTTTCTTCTGGTCTCAACTGAGACTTGGAAAAGTAGTGAACTACCTGCTGCAATCAAAGCCAGCATCAGCCAGCCCATTCCAYGTTCCCACCTATTGCATTGCAAGGAGCACAGATCTGAGATCAGAGGGCTTGAGGATGATTTTGCAGCTCCCTGAGGCAACCTCTTCACCCTGCTCAGAGCCTGGGGTGACACAAGYTGGTCCCTAAGAACAAATCTAGCAGAGGACTTTGTTTCACAGGGCAAATACACCAGACTTTTGGCCAGTTATCTGACCACGACACCCAGGACTGGGGAAAAATTAAACTCACTTTCAGTGAGTTAAAAAAAAAATAAGATCTAAAACATAAGGGTCATTCTTTTATGGGACTTAGGGAGAATGCTGCCCCCACAAAATGAACACTACCTGCAAATTAGACCACCAACACCCAAGCAAGAGTTTGGAACAAAACACAGAATGAAAACTCCCTACAATCAAAAGCACACTGAAAAAATGAGTGGCAAACAAGTGGGTGCACATATTTGGAACTAACATGTTTAAAAACTCTTAATGAAAGGTCCTAAGAGCATCGACAGATAAGGAAAAGGAAATGAGTGCCAGGTCCCAGAGCCTGAATAATAAATGTGTAGTGAATCATCACGATTGTTTACCTCGAAGAATAAAGCATCCAGGAGAYTTCGAAGGAGCCCCCGTGCTCCCTTGCTTTGCATATTATTTGCYTCCTAATTTCCTCTCCTGTCTCCCTTGCAGAGCTGCTGCAGCCACTCAGCAGCCAGTCCCTGATGAAGTTGCTAAAGCAGATCTCAGAGCTCAGCCTTCTTTCTGTTTGTTAGATCCAACTCCCAGCACGGTTTGTTCCCCTGCTCACACACAGCCAGCCCGGAAAAGGGACTGTCCTTTCAAAAGACACTTCTTAGGTGTTAGGGCTAATTATTTTATGAGCTAAAAGATCTTTAATTATCCAGGTGGTTGAAGCACCGCTACAAACACACCGAGCTGAGCACAGCTACACATGCACAAACACACAAAGCACAACATCCCTCCTCAGACTGCAGAGGATATTTTCTGCCCAGATCTCCCTAAATGCACTTCAGTAAAGAGGAAACAGTGTCCACAAGTCTGCGCTTTTGAGAAATCTGCATCATTCCAGGCAAGAATTTTGAATATACAGGCTGGAATGTGGAGGAAATGTTGATTCCCAGCAAACAGGGTTGGTTTTTTTTTCCCCCCTCTTTTTTTTTTTTTTTCTTTTTTCCTTAATGGAAATATATTTTGGGTGTCCCCAGGCGCCTTCTGAACACGAGATGCGCGGGAGGAGGAAGGGAGTTTGTACTTACTCGTGGTGTTGTATTTGATCCCATTGAAGAACTCTGGGCAGGGTCTCTCCACGAGTTCCCCYGCAGAGGTTCTGGGCCAGCAGGTCCCGATCTGATCCGTGGTGGCATTGCAGTACGGACCTTGGGGTGGAAAAAAGGAGACAGAAAGGGGAGAAGAAGCAGCTGAGAAAGCACAAAAGCCACACACTTTGCATCAGAAAACAAACCGAATCTCAGCACTTCTAAAGCTTTTCCCGAGCCCTGCACCAGGTAACGTTTCCTACCATCAAAGCCCAGGAAAGGGATAGAGGAACTCTCTAAAAAAGTCTCGTGTACACGATCCAGGAGGCTGCAGTTCACATCAAATTCTTCTAAGATGAACTGAGATATGGTCACATCCATTATTCCCCCTGGGATTGCTGGTCTGGATCAGGCACTTTCACCCCTTTCTGGTTGGGTKTTTTTTTTTTGGYCMCYTCTTCTTTTCCCCTTTTTCTGGAGGCAAAGAAGCACCAAGCTGCGGGCACCCCGCAGTCTGGTGCGTGCGAGCCTCTCCCGCTCGCAGCGTGCTGGCAACTTGGCTGAGAGTCTGCGTCTGCCTGAGCAGCTCAGCCCTCCGAGCTCTTCTTCCCTTTAAATCCAGCGGCTCGGGAGCCAATGGGATCCGCCTGAGCCCGGGATGAGGGGCTCACGTCTCCTCGGTGTCCCTGGGCTCGCAGCTCCCAGATGCCGCCTGACTTTGCCACACCGCTGTGCTGCTGCTGCATCCCCTCCCTCTCCTGCCTCTCCCTCCCTCCCTCTGACACACAGAGGCACTGAGACAGTTTTATTGTTAGCTCCGGGGATGAGCACTTTTGCAAAAATACTGGCTGCAAATTAAAGCCAGGGAGAACAGGAAAAGCCATCAGAGGAACAGAACTCCTCGGGTTTTCTTTTTTTTTTTTTTTTTTCTTTTTTTTTTTTTTTTTTTTTTTTTTTTTTTTTTTTTTTTTTTTATTTTTTTTTATTTTTTTTGTGGAGCAAAGCAGTTCCTGCCTTTGCTGTGTGGAACTGAGGATGAGCAGGGATGCTCGGGGAGGGAGGGGGAAGGAGGGACTCGTTCCAGGAGCTGCAGTACTGGATGCTGGGCAGGCCTTGGTAAAGAAGAGAAGTAATAAAAACAGGGATGAAGGAAATAGTCTTACAGAAGAGAGGTGTTGGAATAAGGGAATCTGGAGCAATCATAGACTCAGAGAAGGTTTGGGCTGGAAGCGACATTGAAGATCACCCAGTTCTTACCCTGCTACCTTGGGCAGGGACTCTTCCACTAGACCAGGTTGCTCCAAGCCCCATCCAGCCTGGACTGGAATAAAGAAATCTGGAATGAAGAAATCTGGAATAAAGAAATCCGAAAMCCAAACTCTAATGACCCACAGAAGAGGCAGAGTGGGGAGAGTAGGAAAAGGTGGTGAACCCAGCCTGGGCGAAGGCACAGAGGGAACACATCTTTCAGCCACTCACACAGCTGGGATGGGGTGGACAGCAGGGCAGGGCAAAGCATGAAGAGCTTTGGAGCAAAGGATGGGGGRCAAGGGAGAAAAGAATCTCCCTCCCATTTTCCAGTGGTGGGTTTTCAGAAAGGATGGGCACCCAGACTGACCAGGAGCAAGAGGAACAAACTTTCAATAACAAAATTCTGGTGTGGGGAGAAAGAAAAGAGCAAAGGGCTTGACAAACTGAGGTCAGTAWGGAACAGGATGAGAAAGGTCTGGACACAGGGAAAGAGGAGAAATTTGGAAGGAGCTGACCAGAAGGTTGGTCATCTTTTGGGAATCAAAGCTCAGCAGAGTGGGAACTGARTGAAGTTCTGCACTCTGGGACATGCTGGAGAGCAGCCCAGACCTAACCAGCCTTTCTGACTTGCTACACCAGGCCATGAGGAACTCCCTAAAAAAAAAAGTGTTGCTAAGGAGGATCATTTCTGAGCAGAGAGTCAGAAGGATTTTGGGAAGCAAACAGAAAAGTGATTTGTGAGGGAGTAGCCCAAGATCAGTATATGTGGAAGTGGCAGAGAGGAATGCAGAAACAGAAGGCAAGGACAGCAAAGAARCTTTGACAGGAAGAAATGGATTCCAAAATGAAATATTTACAGTCTGTTCACAGCTTTAGATCAGACATGGTGCTTACACTGAGCTCAAARCAGTGGTATAGGACTTCCTATAACATCTGTCTTCCACCCTGCAAGGGCCTGGACTTCCTCTTTATTCATATTTAAGGTTGAAGGGCTTTATTCTTTACTTTTGAAGGACCGAAAGAATTGTGGCATCCAAAGAGAGGAAAAAAGAAAAATAACTGGGTTAGAACAACAAATTAACAACATGCACTAAGGAGAGAACTAGCCAGGATGTTATTTTGCCATCTGGGAATCTGGAGATTTTTTTAACATTTTCAGATTGCAGTGGCAGGGAGGGGAGGAGTGCCATTGTGGTTTTGGGATAAATATTTTTATTTTAAATATGKAAAAACMCAYAAGAATAACAAGTGTACTAACTCTCTAGACACTGTGATATCCTGAGGCAAGTGAATGCAGCTCTCTGCATCTCTCTCTGGAGCCTTGATCTCCTTCCCAAGTGAGTGCTCACAAAACTGCAGCCTTTCTTGACAAATCCCAAATGCTACAAATTAACCCTTGTCAACACCACCAGATCTCTCTGTCCCATACATCTCTAATCCCAAAAAGCAGGGGATAAAATTTAGCATTGTTCACATAACATGATTGTCACCAACATACTGGTTGTCTTTGAATAGGGCTTTGAGGAAAAAAAACCTTTTTCCTGAACGTCCAAGCGGGGGGGATAAATGGGTGCTCCAAACCTTCTTTTCTCCTTCCTGACAGTGCAGTTGAGTTCATAAAATTGGGTTTTGTCCTTCAAGCAGAGCCTCTCAGTGGTGGCTTTGAGACCTTTTCACAAGACAGCATCTGAAGGTGCCCAGTGGCACCACTGAGCCCAGCGGCCACTCCCATGGAGGCAGGACTGGGCAGGACAAAGGATGCTGGTGAATTGGTTTGTTTTTTTTTTTTTTTTTCTGCTTTTGCTGCATCTCTGCATGAGAAAATCACACAGCCTGGCCAAAAGTCTCCATTTCTCACCTACTGTCTGCCCAGCCTATTTTTTCACACTGTTTGCTCAGCACACTGGAATCAAAATCTTGGTTGGAGGCTTTGGGCACTGGAGTTTCCTGAATTTTTTGAGGAATGCATCACTTAATAAATTACAAAAARAGAATGACAGCTTGAAAAAAAAGTAATTGCTTTTAAATTTGGTAAATGTTTATGTTCCCAAATGCTGCCCTGTATTTTCCAGCATAAACATTTGCAGATTTTTCAAATGGTTCAAATATTACAGAGTTGAACACTAAGCTGGATTTCCTTTCAATTCTGTTCTTTATAGTGGTTAACACCTGAAACAATAGCCCTGAATGAAACTAAATATTTTTTCAGGATTAGGAGRATGATTTCTTCATTTAAGTGAGAAGAGCTAGAAAATCTTCAATCTAAACTGATTCTTCTATCTTTTCAGTTCAAACTTTATAAAATCAGAGGCAGTATGTATTGTATCGATAATCCTATTGTGTTCCATATATTTAGTAATAGAAAAAAAAAACCACTTCAAAAATAAATATAGAGGTGATGAACGCATTGTTTAGGRGTAAGTCTGAATGAAGAAAGCAATTTATTGTTCCTCAGTCCACAAATCAGCAACATTCTTTAAAAATCCCAGCTCTACTGTAACCTCTTGATGAAAAGGTGCATCTGCAGCTTTCCTTGGRTGCAATTAACCACTTCATCAAAGTTACCCTCTGACTGGATCTGGTCAAATCATGACCAATTGTGTTAATCTGACTCATCTGATGTGAAAATGTTGTTCTTTATGCAAGAGGCRAATGCAATTAAATAAAAAACTGATAAAAATCGTGCAGCTGCTACACTGCTGCTTCTCTGCYGATACAATGGTGCACATGACACAAACCAGACCTTGCCAGGCAGCAGAGAGCTGCCTTGGAAATTCCTCAGCATCCCAAGAAAGCTGGGATTTTGTGCCTGGCAGGAAGAAAAGCTTTGCCAGCTTCACAGTGGGGTTGTTTCTGTGTCCTGATATTCACTGATTGGTTTGGGTGCACGTGCAAGGTCCTGGAASAGAACAAGACAAATAAACCTGTCCACACACACACAGAGCTCAGTGAGACCCTTTTAAAAAGACATCTTGAAAGGTCACCCACAGTTCTTCTGGGAAGAGAACGAGCTCTGCTCATAAATGGCAGTGGAAACCTCTGCATGTCTGCCCTCACCCCACTGTTCCACAGCTGCTTTCCTCATCTGCAACCCACTCCAAGCCACAGCTGATGGAATTAGCCAGAGCACAGCCTTTCGTTTGCCCCTCTAATAACGAGTAACCAGGATGGTGGTGTGCTCATCCAGCARCACCAAAGCTCTGTGCAAACCCAAGCAGCCACTGGGTGTGTTTGGGGAGGGGGGAAGGAGCTCCAGAGCCATCTGACTGCTCCTCAGACACTGAATCTGCACTAAATAAAGAGACCTGCATATAATAAAGGATCTACCTTTCAAGATCCAGGATGAGTATTGCGGGGRAAAAAAAGAAAAAAGAAGGGAAAGAAAAAAGCCTGAGTTCTCTCCTCATTTCCCTTCTTCAGACAAAGCAAATTCTCCTGTACCTCATCCAGCCCTCTTCTCCCACTGCAGTGACAGTTTTATCACTCTTGCTCTGTCGATGTGAAGAGCCTCTGCTCCCCAGGCACAGCAGCCACTCCTCTTTTGAGCTTTGGAACACAAGGCTCAGGGCAAGGAATGCACATCACCCACCAAACAACCTGGTWACACCGATGTCCTTTGTCCCTCAGCGCCACTGGCTGCCAGGAATKTCACCTCATCCCTGTGGAAGTATCACACTGAGCATGGTCCCATTTTGGCTCCTCAGGTCTCTTCCTTCTACCCCAGGTATGCACATCCACATCCAGACTCACCATCTAACATTACAAACTGATCTATTAACACAGGCATGGATCTATTGCTTCTAAATATGATGCTTGAGGGTTCCGAATGGCACAGCAATTTTTTTCTCGTCTCCTTTTTCCCTCTGAAAAGCGTTCCCCAGTAAATCCTGTATTATTGCAATGACATCCCAGAGCCTGACTTTTAAGTCACTGGGACTCTTCAGCTTGGTAAGGAATGCAAGGCTTTGCGGAAGGTACAAATTTACCAAAGTGGCTTCTGAGCCAGCACCCTGAAGGTCCTCCTCTCAACCTGCGCTGCCAAACCAGTCTGACTGCACTCCTCAAATGCAGTGACAACATGACCATTATCTGGGAGAATATTTACCTTCCCTTCCCATTCCAGGTATGTAAAGGCAATTTTCAGAGTGGGAACAGGTTCAGACCAGARGGAGCAAGATAATTCAAACAGCAAGA